TAGAGAACGGAGAGCTGATTGAAACGAGTACGAACATGAATGTAATAATTGGAAAGCGAAGCTCAACATAAGCAAAAAAAAGTTTTTGGTCGCGCTACCAGGAGAAGATTCTAGAAAAAAAATTTTCGAAACAAAAAGGAAACTGAAAGCGCGTACCATATAAGGATAGAGAACGGAGANCTCCTTATATGGTTTGATAGGTTGTGTATGTGTTGTTCTAAATCATTTCGTTGTGAATAAATATTTGAAATCAGAATGTCTTTGTGTTTGATATTGGAAAGAGGGTGGGGAAGCAGTGAGGAAGCGGGATGATCCGAGTAGAACATGGCGGGCTGAGATCTTGTTTATCTCATCAACAATTGATTGTCCATATATGGCATAGTTTGGGAGTAAAGTGTGGCAGGATAGCCGAGTGGTATACATGGGAATCTCACAGGAACATGGTNCCTGGTACCGAATGGTCTGATAGCCTCATCTATCTACCAACCCAAATGAAAACTACGATGAACATCAATTAAACAAGAAGCGCATATCAGATTAGGGAAGAGCATGAAAAACCATAATGAGTATGAACATGAAAGTATGAATTGTGAAACAAGGCACTGCATTGACCAAAAAAATTTTTCGATCGCGCTGAGAAAAAGATTTTTGGAAAAAAAACTTTTCGAAACAAAAAGGAAACTGAAAGCGCGTACCATATAAGGATAGAGAACGGAGAGCTGATTGAAACGAGTACGAACATGAATGTAATAATTGGAAAGCAAAGCTCAACATTAGCGAAAAAAAATTTTGATGGCGCTACCAGGAGAAGATTCTAGAAAAAAAACTTTTCGAAACAAAAAGGAAACTGAGAGTGCGTACCACAGTTAGAAAGAGCATGAAGAACAGATTCCAATAAATATAAACATGAAAGTATCAGTTGAATAACAAGGCCCAACACTGACGAAAAAAAGTTTTGGTGGCGACATCAGGAGAAGATTTGGGAAAAAAAAACTTTTTCTACGATCGACGAAATGTTTGGCGCATACCATAATAGGAAAGAGAATGTAGAGTAGATTCAAATGAGTATAAGAATGAATATATCAACTGAGAAACAAGGCCCAACATTCACGAAAAAAAGTTTTGATCGCGCTAACAGAGGAAAACTTCGAAAAAAAAAAACTTTTTCTATGATCGAAGAAATGCTTAGCGCATACCATAATAGGAAAGAGAATGAAAAGCAGACTCGAATGAGTATAAGAATGAATACATCAACTGGGAAACAAGGCTCAACATTGACGAAA